AATTCTAGCTACTCAGGAGGCAGACATCAGTAGGACCTCTTAGAAACCAGCTCCAGACAAATAGTTTGAGAGACCCTATCTTGAAAATACCCAACACAAAAAAGGGCTGGCAGAGTGACTCAAGTGCTAGAGGCCTGCCTAGCAAGCATGAGGCCCTGAGTTCAAACCCCAGAACCACCAAAGAAAAAACCAAACAAAAAAGAAACAGGCCAGGTGTAGTGGCTCATTCCTATAATCCCAGCTACTCAAGACATGAAGATCAGGAGAATCATGACTGGAAGCCATGATCCTGAGCAAAATGTCTGTGAGACTCCATCTCAACCTATAGCTGGGCACTGTGGTGGGCACCTGTCATCCCAGCTACGCAGGAAGCATAAATAGGAGGATCACAGTGCAGGCCAGCCTGGGCAAAAAGTTGAGACCCTATCCCAAAAATAACTAAGGCAAAAGGGCTGGGGGCTTGGCTCATTTGCTAGGCTTAGCCTGCCTAGCAAATGTGAAAAGAGATGAAGGCAGGAGAATCAACAAGTTTGAGGACAGCCTAAGGTACATCAGTTCTCAAATAAATAAAAGAACAAGAAAAGGAGACCACCTATCACTACTTTCTCTCAACCTTGTACTGGAGGTCCCAGCCAGTGCAATACAGCAAGAAAAATAAAGAAAAGGTAAGGATTAAAAAAAAATGAAACAGTCATTTGCAAATTATAAACATTAAAAATCAAAGAGGAGGGCTGGGGGCATGGCTCCAGTGGTAAAGCACCTGCCTCGCAAGCATGAGGCCCTGAGTTCAAACCCCCAGGACTGCAGAAACATCAAAGAGGATCTACTAAACAGAAAATCAATACATAAATATTGGTTATACAAATAACATATCTATTTGAAGAAACCATGAGCAAAAGCCTACAAAGACAGGGGGGAATATCTAACAAAAAGCATGACAGAAATTATTGAGTCATTAAATAAAACCCAAATAAGCGGAGAAATATTCTGCTTATATGCAGGAATACTGTTTAAAAAAATGCCAGGTGTCCCAAAATTGTTCTATTAAAAAATTATTATAAATTACATAAAAAGAACCTCTGTTCATCAAAAGACGCAATGAAATGGCCAGCTACAGTGTGGAAGTTGGTTTCTGAAACATGTGAAATCAACAGCGGTTCATACCCAGACCATAGAAAGAAGCCCTGGAAGTCAGTAAAAAGACCAGCAGAAAAATGGACAAGATAGGTGAACAGGAAACTTACAAAAGAGGAAATCCAAATGACTACTGAATATATGAAAAGTACTAACCCCATACACGAAAGTAAAACCACAAGGAGATGTCACAAAATGTCACAACTGTGGGGTGTTGGTGGCTCATGCATGCCATCCTAGCTACTTGGGAGGCAGAGATCAGAGGGATTGTGGTTTGAGGCCAGCCTGGACAAATAGTTTGCAAGACCCTACCTTGGATAAAAACCAACACAAAAAAAGGCCTGGTGGAGTGGCTCAAGTGGTAGAGCACCTGCTTAGCAAGCAAGAGGCCCTGAGTTCAAACCCCAGTGCCACCCAAAAAATAAATAAAACAACACGACTCTTGGGTAGGGGTCAGGAATCCTTGTGCCCGGAGATTCTAACATAAAACTGTCTGGGGCAACAACCTGGACATCAGGATTTCTCAAAGCTCACTGGGTGATTCAAAAGTGTGGCCAGCTAGATATGGTGGCTCATGGCTGTAATCCCAGCTACTAGGCTTTTCTTTTTTTCCTTCAGCACTAGGGATGGAGCACACAGCCTTGCACATGCTAAGCAAGTACTTTATCACTGAGCCCCACCCCCAGTCCTAACCCCAGTTACTAGGGAGGCAGAGACCAGTTTGAGGCCAACACCAGTAAAAAGTTATCAAGACCCCATCTCAATTAATAAGCCAAGCATGGTGGTAGTCTCCTGTTATCCCAGCTATGCAGGAGGCTATAGGTAGGAAAATCTCAGTCTGAGACCAGCCTGGGCAAAAACACAAGACCCTATCTGAAAAATATATAAAGCAAAAAAGGCTAGGGCATGGCTCAGGTGTACAGTGCCGGCCTAGCAAGTACCAGGCTCCTAAGTTCAAATCCCAGTGCGCTAAAAAAAGAAAGAAATGCAGACAATGCAACCCAGCACATTCGGGACAGGCTAATGGCAACTTTATCAGAGAAGGGATCCTGATCCTGATGGTTCTGGGCATGATGGTGGTCACCACTAATCCCAGCACTTGGGAGGCAAAGGCAGGAGGGTGGAGAGTTCAAGGCCAGCCTGGGCTACATAACAAGATTCTATCGCAGAAAAAGCTGAAGGAAGCACTGCCCACCCAACAATCACTGCAGCACCAAGGCAGGTGTCTGGCCACAACTTGAATTCAGATCTGATTAGGCCGTGCTGCTTACTTCACCAGAAGTGCAGGGAACAGAGGAAGGTATGAACCACTGCCATGATAAAAATCAGCAAAGTTCCAAGTAGGGGACACAGGACAAAGAATGTGCTTTGTTCCACAAAAAAGTAAATTGCATGAAAGGGGCGGGGCTGTAAATCAAGAGCTGTTAAGAGACACACGACCAGACTGCAGGACGCAGCTGTGCCTGGACACTAGCTCAAAGGCATCTGTGAGACAAGTTGAACATCGCACACACTGGGAATCACATGAAATTCTGGGATGGCGGTTAACTGTACTGAATGAGGTAACAGCATGTGGGGGGAGTGGGTTGTTTGTTTTTTCACTGGGGAAGGATGACCCTAGCCTTCACAAGCTAGGTAGAGCTACATACAGGGTCTCACTATGTAGCCCACATTGGCCTAGAACTCAAGACCTCCTACCTCAGCATTCCGAGTACTGGGATTACAGGCATGCACTATCCCACCTGGCACCTATTTGGGTTTTTTTTTTGGTTTTTGGTTTTGTTGTTTGTTTTTTGCAGTACTGGGGGTTGAATTCAGGGCCTCAAGCTTGCTACCACTTAAGCCACTCCTCCAAACCTTTTTTGTGTTAGTTATTTTTGAGACAGGATCTTGCTTTATGCCTGCTGGGCCTGGACTGCAGCTCTCCTATGGGGACTTCTCCAGCTACCTCTGTGCCATCTCTGGTTGAGAGGAGATCCAAACTATCTGCACAGGCTAGCCTCAATCTGTGCTCCTCCCGATCTCCACCTCTCAACTGAGATTACAGGCTTGAGCCATTGTGCCCGCTCTTTTTTTTTTTTTTAATGTCCTTATATGTTAAGGATATACAGTGGAGGATTTATGGAGGAGATATGACATCTGGGGTTTACTTCCCAGGGAAAAATGGAGGGAGTGATTAAACAAGAGGGACTGGAGGAGTGACTCTAATGGAAGACTGCCTACCTAGCAAGTGTCAGGCTCTGAGTTCAAACATCTGTACCAAAAAAAAAAAAAATCAAGCTGGGCAAAATACAGGTAACTAAAGCTGGGGACAGACACATACCCATTCATTAAACTACTGTCTACCCTGTGTGCGCTTGGGGGCCTCTCCTCATAAAACCTTCTAAGACTGCACCCCAGCTCCCCAAGGAGCTTCCCATAGGCCTATGCCCCTGCCTTATTCCTTCTCCTCACCTCCCAACCCCACAGGCTGTCCTTTACCAATGCAGTTCTTTCTTCCGTAATGTTCTCCCCTCCTGCTCCCAGCTGGAAGGACTACACTCCTGGAAGGGAGCCTAAGCCGGCCTGCTGTGCATGCTCAACTCCCCCTGTACATTCCTTCCCAGCTTATCCTCTGTGGAGCTGGCTTCTATCTGCCACCATCGGCTTTCTGTCTGGACTACCACCCTCTGGGGAAGTGTGCTGTGTAGAAATGGCTCTGTGGCCAGGCTGTGTGCAGTTTGACCCTATCCCGCCAATTACAAGCTGGGTGACCCCCCAGCAGCTCCATGGCATGTCTGGACCTCCCTCTTCTCATCTGTGAACAGGACAATAATAACTCCTATAGGAGTGTAGAGTGGTAGGAATCCATGAAGAAAATCTGGCATAGATAAGTGCTCCATAAACATCGACTAATGCCAGGAAGTATGTGGACTGAGTGCCAGACAGACAGACAGATGGATAGATAGATGGGTGGATGGATGCATAATGGATGGGTGGATGGATGGATAATGGATGGGTGGATGGATGGATGGGTGGATGATGGATGGATAGATAGGTGGATGGACAGATGGATGGATGGATGGATGAATCTCAGAGTCTTCCCAAATTCCATAGTCCAGGATGGGAGGAAGATAGTAAGAGAAGATAACAAGACAACAAGTCAGGTGAGGATGGGTGAGAAGAGCAGATCACGCCACCTTGTGGCCATTCTGGGAAGGGCGTGTGCACACATGCACACCCTAACCCACCAGGCAGAGGACAGATCCAGGGGATCAACTAAGGTGAAGCTCGTCCTGCTTCCCACCCTGGCCTCCCATTGTGGCTTTCCCCCACCTCTGCCCAGCACAGCACAGCTGCCCCGCAAGCATCCATTCCTGGGAGGAAAAGGCTGAGGAGACCCAGAGGGCCCAGCACTGGCTGCCCGGATCTAAGGTCTAGCCTGGCAGTATTATTCAGTGTGTGACTTGAGGAAAGACCCCTAGCTTCTCTGGGCATCTCAAACGGGGATAACAGCAGTGCCTACCTCGTAGGACAGCAGTGAGGACAACATGAACTCACCCGAAAAGCACTGAGTAGGGTCCTGGCACACAGTTAAATATTCAATAAACATTAGCTGTGGTGGTTACTGTGGTGGTTATTATTATCGTTATTAAAAATACCACTAGCCCGGCCAGGTACAGTGGCTCACACCTGTAATCCTAGCTACTTGGGAGCCAGAGATTGGGAGGATCGTAGTTCCAAGCCAGCTCAGGCAAAAAGTTCACAAGAACCATCTCAACCAATAAAAGCTGGACTTGGCAGCACCTGTCTGTCATCCCAGCGTGGGAAGCATAAATGCAGGATCACGATCCAGGACAGCGCAAGCATAAACATGAGACCCTATGTGAAAAATAACTAAAGCAATAAGACTGGTCATCGCTCAAGGGGTAGAGCGCTTGCTTGGCAAGTGCAAGTTGGTACTGCGAGTGCTCCCCAGGTGGAGACAGAGTTCTGATTCAGCTCACCCTCTGCTGGTGTCAGTAAGTGCAATAAATGTGCCAGAAGCCTTTTCTTCCTTTACTTGGTCAGCCTCTGTTCTCACTGCATTCCACCTAACACGTGGATTTTGCACATGCTGTTCCTCTGCCCAACTCCTTCTCCTGATCCACCTGGAGATCGATCAGTCCCTGCTACACCCTTCTCCACCTGTTCCAATGACATGCTCAGCCAACTATGTGATGACCATCCATCTGCGCCAGACCAGGCACTACATGGGGGCAGGGAGGACACAGAACAAAGGAGGTGCATGGTGAAGGCGGGTCCAACCCAATACAGCTCAACCTGCCATCTTGTACCTAGGCTCTGCCCTTGGCCAACAGCACCAGGCAGGGTGACTTGAGACCCGCTCTGGTTTGCCCAGCCTCCTCCACTCTGAGTCTTCACTGTCCATACACAGAGATGTCTCCCTCACTGGCCTGGGAATCTGTCGGGCAGGGCCAGGGCTGTCACCACTGTCAGTCACCTGTGTCCCCAGGCAACCCAAGGGCTCAGAACCACACTGCAAATGAGGGACAGCCCACAGTCGTCCCTATGGTAGAGATGATCCCTGAAGTGCACGATAGGCTGTGCTTCCACACCGCCCAGATGCCGCCCTTCCCATTCACTTCCTCCCCACACTCCAACCCCGCCCCTCCCAGACAACTGCCCCTCCCCCAACTCCTGCTCCTCCCCCCAGACTCACTGCTCCCGCAGGTGCCAGATCTCAGTCTCCCGCGTGTTCCGAGCATCCCGAGCGTCCTGGCCGCCACTGAGCCCTCGAAGGCGGCCCAGCTCCTCCTTCAGTGAGCGGATGATGCCCTGCAGGACCACAGGGTCCGGCTTACCCTGGTACGGGAGGGGCAGCGGGTAGTGAATCCTGAGGAGGGGGATCAGAACCACGGCATCTCAGAGTCCAAGAATCTCCCCAAGGGTAATACCACATTCTGAGCCGAAGACAAGGAAAATTCCCAGCCCCCAAACCTCTCTTCAACCACAGCTCCAGCCCACCCTTGCCCTCACACACTCTACACCGGCCATTCGCTCCACAAGCCTCATGTGCAGATTCTGAGGTCACAGGGATAGCCGTCCTGGCGCAGTGTGGAGTAACATCCTTGTCACACAGGCTGCTCTGGTACGGCCTGCATGAAGCAAGGTCTAAGGGCTGGTGGAGCGGCCCTGGCAGTAGAGCACTGCCTAGCAAGTGTGAGGCCCTGAGTTCCAACCCCAGTGCCGCCAAAAAAAAAAATCCAGACTCCACAGTGGGAGATTCTGGTTGGCCTGATCCAGGTCACCCCTTGGCTAGACAAAGAGGGGGTGCCTTATGCAATGTCCCACCAATATCAGATTTCTGCTCATAGCACTTACATCGTTCACCTTTGAAATGCCTCACCAGATGCAATTCACAAAAGATTGGTAACTTCCCAGGAGTACAAAAGGGGCAGACACTGTCCCCAGCTACTCAAGAGCCATTTCCAACTCCCTCTCCCTTGCTGCCTCCCACTAGGCAGGTCAGAAAGCCAGATGCTCATTTTCCCAGAATCTTCTTCGAGTAACCACTTTTGGCCAGATACTTTGGGCAATCTATTCAGTCTTCTGAGAACATTTTTGTTTTCCTGAGAAAAACTAGCAGACGCAGATTCAATTAGCAAACACAGCCCTGTGTGGGCTTGTTCCTGCTTTGAAATAGGTGCAATACCTGGATATCCAGCAGCTATTTTGTGACCATGAGGAGATAAACATGAAGTTGAACAGCAAACATGTAATTCACAACAAAGGAAAGAAAAATAAAACAAAACCAGAAAGAGCCTGAGTGCCTCATGGGAATGCTGAATAGCAGCCACCTACTTAAGACGTCTAGTTAGTTGATAAACTATTATTTGTTTAGCACTGGTGATAGTTGTTCTGCTACTGTGGCCAAACACTAAATGATATAAACCCAACACCACAGATCGCAAAGGCAAGGCTTCTGCAATCCCTTGGCACCCTGAGTCTCAGAGGCTCCGCCCCCACCCCGCCCACCTGTCAAACTCCACGGAGTAGATGAGGATCAGGTAGCGCTTGGAGTTGAGCTGGGATGACCTGGGGGCCACAGTGCCTGGGCGACCCCCTAATTTGCGATTCCGCAGGGACTCTAGGTCTGTGTAGGTCAGCAGGTCCAGGGTGACTGACTCACTGCTCTGTTGGGAGAGGAGGGAAGGAGCTGCCAAGGACTCACACGGCCACACCCGGAGCACACAGTCCACACACGAGCCCCACCCTGCCTGGGCTCAGAGCTGCTGGGCTTTTTTGCAGTAAGGTTGGTGATGGCCCTGTCCCAGTGATGAGTACACTGGGAAGAACCTAAATGCTCAGCCCTTGGGACAGCTTAAGCCTGTGACTCTCCAAATACTGTCTGCAGACCCTTGCAAGTCCCCAAGACCCTCCTGGGGATCTGTGAGGTCAAAATGATTTTCTTAACAACAAGGAAACATCGTGTAACCTTTCCATGTGTTGGCAGCAACCCTAAGGTGCAAAAGTAGGGTTTGTAAAACTGCTGCCCCTAGGGGAGGATAAAGGAGAGGGTAGAGAAGGCGAATATGGTCCCTGTACTTTGTATATGGGCACGAAAACAGAACAATGGAACCTGCCAGAACTGTCCTAAGGAGGGAGGAAAGGGGATGAAGATGAATGACGGAGAGGAGAATCTAATTAAGATACATTGTAAGCACATATGCAAATGTCAGAATGAAACCTCCCATACTAAAACTAACATTTGCTAATGTAAGTGTTATGTTTTGGTTTTTTTTTTTTGGGGGGGGGAGGGTTGCAGTACTGGGGTTTGAACTCAGGGCCTAAGCCCTGACCCACTCTTTTTTTGTGATGGGTTTTTTCAGATAGGGTTTCAAAAACTATTTGCCCGGGCTGGCTTTGAACTTTGATCCTCCTGATATCTGCCTCCTGAGTAGCTCAGATTACAGGTGTGAGCCACCAGCGCCCAACAATAAAAGTATTTAGAAAAAAAAAAGTACCTTCTGCCCATCAAGCTAGTAGGTACCACATGGTACCAGCAGTCACTGCACTGACGGACTGCCATGGGTTTCAGGGGGGACTCAGAGGAGGAAATAAATCAATGAACAAATAAACAGGAAAGTGAAATTTAGGAAGGTTGCGGGGCAGAAGGGTTGTTTTGGTTTTGGTTTTACACAGCTGAGGATAGACTCCAGGACACAAGCACTCTACCACTGAGCCACACCTCCAGTCCTTTTGCTTTCATTTTGTTTGTTTGGTTTTTTTGAGACAGGGTCTCCTTATGTAGGCCAGGCTGGCCTCAAACTCTTGGTCCTCCTGCCCCAGCCTCCACAGTACTGGGATTACAAGTGTGAGCCACCACACCTGGCTCTTAGGAATTTTCTTGATGACGGAATGAAAACTACCCTTGAGAACACATTACTACTCTGCACGAGAAAATGGGAAACACCCACAAAGTACTTGGACTATACAGCAACGTGGACAGTGAGCTCAGTAAAAGCACTTGTGCATTTTTGCTATGAGCTAAATTAGCCACTTTTTCCTGGAGTGCTATCTCTACTTGAAAGAAGGACTGACAAGACAAAACTATGCTTCTTCAGCCCTGGGTATTTGAGGGGCATTTTCTCCAAAATGAACAAATTGAAGCCAGGTATGGTGGCACATGCCTGTAATCCCAGCGCCTGGGAGGCTGAGACATGAGGATCTCAAGTTCCAGGCCAGCCTGGGCCACATAGAGACCCTGTCTCAAAAAAATAGAAGACAGTGAGCCTTTTTCTTCAAGAAAAACAGTCATAGGATTTGTTGTCAGTGATAAAACTCAAGCTCTCCACTTGATTTAGAACTTTGTGCTTGATGGCTTCTCCATGTTCAAAGACTATCATGGTGACATCAGCAGGGCTGCTAGAACATGTCATTTCCTGCAGGCATAGGTGGTGATCAGGTGGATCTCATTTTTAGGCCAGCCCAAACAAAAAGTTCAAGAGACCCCCATCTCAATCAATAAAAAGGTGGATATAGTAGTGCATGCCTGTCATCCCAGCTACATAGGAAGCCTAAAAAGTAGGATTGCAGTCCATGTGGGCCCAGGCATAAGAGGAACACCATATTCAAAAAACAACTAAAGCAAAAAGGACTGGAGGTGTGGCTCAAATGGTAGCATGCCTACCTAGCAAGTATTAGACCCTGAGTTTAAACCTCACTGCCACTAAAAAGGAAAAAAAAAAAGTCACTCCCTGATATAATGAAGTGGACCAACATTTGGAAGGTCTGTACAACTCAGTGAAGCAGTATTTTCCAAATGACCAATGCTGGGATTACAGGAATGAACCACCATACCCAGCTTTGTTGTTGTTGTCACTGTTGCTTTTGAGACATGGTCTTACTATGAAGTCCAGGCTGGACTCAAACTCACGATCCTCCTGCTTTGGCCTCCTGAGTGCTGGGATCACAGGCAAGGACAGAGATTTTGTCTCTTTGGTTGACTGCTATATCCCCAGTGCCTACAACAGTGCCTGGCACACTGCAGATGCTCAGCAAATGAAACGATGGCTATCCTCACTGAGGCAACCAAAGTCTTACAAAATATTGTGGATACTTTAACATCAAGTTGCAGAAGACCTTGTAATTATATGTAATTACAGATCTGTGGGAAGAGAAGGGGAAGGAAAGAGAAGGGAGAAGGGAGGAGAAAAGGATGTGGGGGGGTGGGAAAAAGAACGAGGGAGGGGGGAGAGGGGAAGAGGGAGAGAGAGAGAGAAATGAAGAAATGGTTGGAGCAATTTACACCAAAATGTTAACAAGAGTATTAGAAGTGGAATTATTTGGACTTTCTTCCTTACATTTCTCTGTGATCTGAGTTTTCTACCTGAGAATTAACTATCATTAGCCTCAGGATAAACCATTCACATTTGAAAAGGAGGAGAAAGCCTTGGCCCTTTAGTGGAAGAGAAGGCAGAGAGGGCCCTGCATACACCACGCCGGTACCTACCCCCAGGATCTGGGGGACAGAACCTCCCCTGGCCCTCAACCCTGGTCCCTACCTGGGTGAGAGCGGACTCCAGCATGTTACAGAAGATGTTGAACTGTTTGAAGTTCCCTGTCTTGTGAGTCAAGTCTTCAATGACTGGGTAGGAAGAAAAGTCCCCCTGAAGTCTGACCATTTGCACAGCCCACAGACAAGGCATCCAAGGTCTCCAGTTCTCCCCAGCTCCGGGGCCTCTGGCCTGAGGACTAAGGCCTATACCCCCTCCCCACCTTGCAGAGCTTCTGGTCAGACAGAAGAAGCAAAGGACAGGACTATGGTTGGCCTGATCTCCCAGAGGAAGCGGATCCAGGGGGAGGAGAGGTGATCCCACCCCAAGCGGCCCACTCACAGGTGGCATCAAACTCGCCCCGCCACTGGTCAGCCGTCATCCGGTCCTCCACCTCCAGCTCCAGCACCTGCCCAGAAACCACCACTCGTACAGCATGCTCCACACCCCGGAAGATGTAGTCCACCTGCAGGCCGGCTGGCTGGTCCATGGCCAGGGTCGCTGGAGAGGGGGATGAGACAGAGACCCAGAGGGGCTGAGAGCCCAGGTTCTTGAGTGAAGAGACCAGGATGCATACCCCGGATCCATCAGTTGCCAGCTGGGGCACCCTGGGAAAATTACTTCAGTGCTCTGTGCCTCGGTTTCCTCATCTAGAAAATGAGTATAATAATGGCACCAACTCACAAGAGCTGTCATAAAGATTAAATTGGACAATATACATAAAAACTCTAAGAACTGCTGGGCATGGCACTGCATGTCTGTAATCCCAGAACTCAGGAGGCTAAGAAAGGAGAATCATGAGTTTGAAGACAGCCTGGTCTACATGGCAAGACCCTGTCTCAAAAAAACAAAAAGCAAACAAACAAAAACTCTAAGAACTGTGTCCTATACATTAATACATGCAATGCATTCTGGCTAATAGAAATACAGTTATCCACAAGAAAATCATGATTAATACTATTGATATATTGTTCATTCATTCATTCAGCAAACATTTGTGAAGTAAAATCAAGCTGGAAAGGGGGGACAGGAAGTACTGGGGTCGGGCAGGTCAGCAGGCCTGTCCAAGTGATATGTGAGCAGCAAAGTGAATTTGGTGAAGGAGCAAGACCGGCTCTCTGAAGGAAGAACCCTAAATCCAGGAACAGCCAGTGCTATATATTACCTATGATACACTAAACTCTTTTACACTGAATTAATAATTGACCTCACTAATTAGTCCCTGTAAGAAGAAACACATTCTCTCAGGCAACAGACCACTACTCACATTATTTCTATGAAGAGCTAGGGGGAGGGACAAGCCTCTGCCCTCCATCCAGGACTCCAGAGGGTGGATCCAGGCCCCCGGGCTGCCTGAGTTCCTACCCAGTTCTTCTGCAGGCACATGGGCAAGTTATTTAACCTCTCCATGAACTAGAACCCCTAGCTACAAATCAAGTGTCATCCCAGGTGCTAGAGAGGTGATAAGAAACCAGATTACATCCCCAGCATACAGTTATCTCCTAGCATACCAATGGAGAAACTAAGGCTCAGCAATAAAAGAACTATACCCTGAGTCCCACAGCTGCTCCAATGACAGAGCCACCAACCCGGACCATGGGGACCCCTCCAATGCTTGGTCTTCTCCTCTTCCCACCACCTGTAGTCCTCATCCAGGAAGTTCTTCCTGGAGTCTAACACCAGAAAACACCTTATGAGTCAGGAAAAATGAGCCCTGAAACTCTAGGTCAGTGATTTCCACACTGGGGTTTGAACTCAGGGCCTCACACTTGCTAGGCAGATGCTTTACCACTTGAGTCACTTCACCAGCCCTTTTTTATGACAGGTTTTTTCGAGATAGGGTATCTCAAATTATTTGTATGGGCTGGCTTTGAACCGTCGTGGTCCTCCTGATCTCTGCCTCCTAAGTAGCTGGGATTACAGGCGTGAGCCCCTGGCGTCAGGCCAGGTGGGTGATTTTTACCCTTTGTTAGTCCCTGAGCCTTTGAATAGCTAATGTGAAGTTTTTGGACCCTTCCCTCAAAGGCATACGCCCACAAGTTTTTGCAAATAATTTCAGGGGCTGGCAGATTACCACCTACCAGGGCGGTCCACAGATCCTTCCTCAGAGACCCAAGGACAGAGTCTGAGCCCACATGTCCTGAGAGGCACCTCTTTGTCTCTGGACCCGAGTTCTTAACTTTATTTGGCAGAAGGGTCTCTGATGATTTTTAGAGGGCTTTATGAAATCCAGGACACCTTCCCCAACAAAACTCACTCTAGAAATGGCGCTTTCATTTTCTGGGAGTTCTGAGGTCTGGGTTTTTATCTCAGATCTCACTACAAACAAATCACGTTTTAACGGGCACCCCTGGCTCCCTGGCCCCCAGCATGGAGCTTGGCAGCGCTGGCCCCACCCCACGGGTCCTAGACCCCACCCACAGACCCCGCCCCTCAGGCTTGGCAAGCCAATCAGCAGCCGTGCCGTCCCGGTTGCCAAGGCACTGGAGGTTGCTAAGGCGTCGGAGGTACCTCGAAGTCCTAAGAAATGGTGCAGAATCACCACCCCCATCCAGGAGGAAGGGGGCACCTCACTCCATCCCTACTGACACCCTGGCCCTCCTCTTCCCCACCCCACCACGTAAGGCCCCCCCATCTCGCCTGCCACAACAGAGCACCGTTCCGCAGGTCCTTAGCTGCCATGGGCCACCTCAATCCCAAATATTCAGAATCCAAATAATCTGCCTGAACTCAACTCTCCCCTTATACACATCTCCCTTCTCTCTGCCCAACCCCTCTTGGAGGCTTGTCCTTAAGTGTCCCTTAGCTACTGATGGGATAAATGCCACCGTCCTGCAACCTCCAACCTCCCAGACCCCTGACTCCTACATGAAAACTCGATTCTGGCTCCCCTTTCCCTCCCCTCTGCAGAGCCCCCTCATTCCCTCCCTATTCTCTGCCCCTTGTGCAGCTCCTCAGAAACCAGCCCCTTTCCACAAAGTCCACTACCTCCCTCCTGCTCTCTCATAGTGGAGGGTGGGGAACAGCGCACTTCTCCCTACACCAGCCTCCCATGTTCTCCTGGGCTCCTGCATTTTATTCCTGAATTCTGGGCCCCATTATTCAGCCAGGATTCTGCCCTTATATCTGCCCCAGGTTCTCTTCCACACATCCCACTTTCAGCCTGTATTTCATCACCCCCTATTTCACCTGGATTCCTCCCAAGTTGTATATAAAGCCCCGTCCTCATCCACACACATTTTCCACCTCTCTTCCCTTCAGAGAACCCTCCTGGACTAGACACACCTCGCCGCAATTTCTGGGATTCCCGCCCCCCCGCCCCGGCCCTGAGTCTCCTCTTCCCCCACCCCATTCCGACCCAGTCCCTCTACCTGTACAGTCCATCCTCGCTCAGTGACCAGTGGTCCATTCTGGTAAATGACTTCATTCCAGATCGTCTTCTCCCCCTCAGCCTTGTGACCCCGCATCCCAGCTGCGCCTTCAAGGCCCCACCTTGCCAGCCTGTGACATCACTACCCCAACCCTGGCGGGGGCACCTCAGCACACTCTTCTGCCCCATAAGCCTGACCCCAGTCTGGGACCTTATGACATCAAGACTGCTCTCATGCACACTCAACTTCTGCCCAGCCTCCTCCCTGTCATCCTTCATGCAGGGGACTCCAGCTCTTTGCCAGTGTTACATCACCGCCACTGGCTCCTCCTCCCACACTGCACTCGGGATACCAAGCGGATTTCACAGCCTTCACTGAAGAACCCTCCACACTAGGCTCTCCAGAGACAAACCCACACCACCACCACCCACACCCAACAAGGGCAAATCACCACCCCAGAGTGGTGGTGGACCACCCCACAGTCTCCCCCCTCCCTGCCCACCCTCTGCAACCCCTACCTCCACCTCATATTCTAGCCCAGGGGTGGCCTAGCTGGGCACTCCAGGTGCAAGGCTCTCCACCCTGCATCCACACAAATGGCCTGGCCTGGTTGTCCCCTTTCATCCCCACTCTGGGCTCACATTCCCACCACCTGGGCAGACCTGGTTCTCACCTTCTCCTCTGCACTCCCCCAGAATAATCACCCCAGCTTCCACTGACACCACAGGAATATATACACGTTTTGTTTTGTTTTGAGGATCCAGGGCCTCCTGAATGCTAAGCAAGGGCTCTACCACTTGAGCCACACCCCAGCAGTTTTGTTTTGCTTTGTTTTGTTGGGGGAGAAGGGGGGGACATTGTGTTGGGTTTTGGTTAGTTTTGGTTTGGCTTGGTTTGGGCTTTTTTAGCCAGGGTCTCATTACATAGCCCTGGCTGGCCTCAAACTATGTAGACCAGGTTGGCCTTGAACTCTGGATCCTCCTCCTGAGTAGCTAGCATTAGAGGACTGCAACCAGCTGAAACAAAAGTTCTTAGCAAACATGAGGAGGCCAGTTCAGTAAAAAGTTAGGGAGACCCCATCTTGATCAGTAAGCTGAGGGCTGAGATGTACGGGAGGCACAGGAGGAGCCAAGTCTGGGCAATAACGCCCAAGACCATTCCTGAAAAATAACTAAAGCAAAAGGGGCTGGGGGCGTGTTTTAGGAGGGAGAGCACCTGCCTGGCAAGCATGAGGCCCTGCGTTCTAACCCCAGTACTGCCAAAAAAAAAAGGTCTTTAGGATACCCCACAATCCAGACTTTCATAGTGCACACCCAGGGTATCCAGCTCCCTTTCCCTCTGTCCTTCATACACTTTCTGCCTCCGACAGGGACCAAGCTGACTTACCCACCCAGTGACTCACAATTCTGCTCTGAAGGTGTCATGACTGTCCCCAAGTTTACAGAGGATGAAACTGAGACCTGCCTCAGACTCCTGGGTTCAGCTCTCAGTTCCCCCACCCATCCCCAGTGCAACTTTGGGTAAGGTACTTGCCATCCCTGGGCCTTTCCCCAACAGCAAAGTGGAGATAGTAAGAGTCCCTATCTCATGAGGCTGTGGTGGAGAATGAGTCAGTTAACAAATACAAGGTGCCTCCAACAGTGCCGGGCACTTCCTGTCACCACCCCTGTAGTTTGTTGATTAGGTAATAGACCAGAGGCCCAAGGAAGCAGAGCCATTTTGATCATTGTTGAGATTTTGGGGGGAAAGGGAGGTTTTGTTTGTTAGGGCGAGGGGGCAATGCTAGGGACTGAAAACCACAGCCTCGAGCTTACTAGACAAGGGCTCTACCACTTACACCATGCCCAGTCCTTTTGGTTTGGGCTTTGGTTTCGGTTTTTGAGGCAGGGTCTTACTATATTAGTCCAGGACAGCCTGGAACTAGTGATCCTCCTACATTAGCCTTCCAAGTGCTGGGATTACAAGCATATACCACCATACACAGCCCCTATTTTGATCATTCTTGAATCCTCACTACCCTGGCCTGGTACAGATCAGGGACTACTTGTCAACTTAATGGGAGACACCAAGGAACAGGGTCATAGGCAATGAGGAAACAGCCAAGGTCTTCCCTCAGCATTAGTC